TCGCAGGCATCTGTCCAGTGAACAAAAACTCCATCGACTACCTGCTGTCGCGTAACGGAACAGGGAACGCCGTGGTCATCGTCGTGGGAGGAGCGGCAGAGTCTCTGCACTGCGCGCCCGGCATGAATTCTGTCACCCTGAAGAACCGCAAAGGCTTCGTGAGGCTGGCCCTGCAGAAAGGGTGAGCCGGCTGCACCGCATTCACACACGACGACACGTGCACTGTTCAGGGAAATAAACAAAATCTGTTGCGTCGATGTAAACGTCTCCGCGCTGCGGTGAGTCACTGGACTGAATAAATCCGAGATTATTACTCCCAGAAAGTTTTAAATTACCTCACAGGGAGCGTTACCAAATCTTTTATGAATGTGCCGTGTTGTCCCCCCCAGTGAGGCTCGGTGCTCCCCGTGGCACCCAGTAGTTCTTTAGAAAGGTCAGACTGTGTGAGCTGGCATTGGGCTGCCCTCAGCTGTGAATTAATCTCTATTACAAACTGCACTGCGGAGGGAAGTAGCCTTGGTTTGTCTCACAAACCCAAACAAGCGCGATTCCTTTTCAAATGCAGCTGAGGATTATCACATGCACCAGTGTCCAAAGGAGCTTAAAGGTTTGTAGGAAAGACGTGCCGTTCTTCAGACCTTCGTTCATAACAAACTGGGTTGGCATTCCAGCTGATATAAGCCTGCTGTATGAATTCAGGTCACTTTTGGATTCACTTCCTGGCACTTGTAATGCTTGTGAAATAGAAAAAATGTTCCCACCAGCTGATTAAGAGGTTGTTTGATAAATAAAAAGGTGTCTTCAGGTGTCTGTCTTTGCAGATGAAGGTAGATTTAATGAACGTCACTGCAGGAGGCCTCCTGGCTGCATAACACCTTTTATTACCGTTATCGCTAATATCGGGAATCTTGGCCGTCACCCACAATATTATTGAGTATAAAATGTCAGTGCTTTCCCAAACAGTCTGCCTACGTGACCCACTGAGTCGGGGCAATTAGCAACGCATTAGGCCAATTCACTGACCCCGTTCGTGTGATAGTTATTTCAAAGCCAGGGGATTTACAGACACGACTGTAATATGAATAATCTAAGCTTTGTAATCAAACAAGTCTGGAAAGTTTCAGTTAAGAGGAAAGTGAAGATTTTGTTATGCAGCAGTTTTCTAAAAAAAAACAAAAAAAGAGTCTCCACCGCTTGCTTCTAATAGTGTTTTACTGACTTATTTGGTGCTTTGGGATATTAACATACAAATGAACATGGATTAAACACATCAGCGCCTTGGATATCTCTCTGTATCCGGCAGCATATTTACATTTTTAATCAAAGGTACAAAAAAATCTTGGTCATGCATTGACAGTATTTGTGCAGTTCCTCTTACTGCCAGTAGGAGGAGACAAACGTCCCCCTACGTCAGGTTTAAATGCTGCTCTGTAACTTAGGTTTCTTCTTCTGTGCTCCCTCAGCTCTGACCTGGTTCCGGTCTACTCCTTCGGGGAGAACGACGCCTACAAGCAGGTGATCTTCGAGGAGGGAACCTACTGGAGATCTGTGCAAAAGAAGCTACAGAAGATCTTAGGTTTCGCCCCGTGCCTTTTCCATGGATGTGGCCTCTTCTTTGGCAACTCCTGGGGCATCGTGCCTTATGGGAAACCTATCACCACCATAGGTGAGGGTTGGTTTGAGTGTATGGTCAGATTGTTAGAGGTACAGATCAGGGTCATTCCTCTGCTGTTCTAGTACAGTTTACTGGAGGACACTGACCAACAAACTGGTGACAGATTAACCGGACAAAGTCAATATTTGCAGAACGTTTTTTCTCAACCTCTCCTCTGTTTTTGTTACAGTTGGGGAGCCAATCACAGTGCCAAAAATCGAGGATCCAACTGACGAGACGGTGGATCTTTACCATTCAATGTACGTCAAGTCCCTCCAGTGCCTTTTCGACAAGTTCAAGACCCGCTTCGGCCTGAAAGAGAGCGACGTCCTGTACATCCAGTGAGAGGACGAGGCCTCCTCTCGGTTTCCCTCCCATTCCTCGTCCAACCTCGGTGCACCGTTTATCTCTGAGCTGCAAACTCTACGTACGTTTGCTAAAGAAACCTTTGCTCACCGTGTCGTCTCTCACACAAACACACAAACACACACTTTTCAGTGGACGGCAGGTTTGAAGAACAGTGGCCTCTCCCTGCTGCTCCCGTCCGGACAGAGTTACGCCAAACCCCACGTCAAAAAGTGTGCCTTTTTCTCGTTTCATTTTCTATTTTGTCAATGAAAGCATCGAGTTTGGACGTGGTCGCCGGTGCAGAGGGGAGGTGAACTCCACTAGATGGAGCTGAAAGGCAACACGCAGGACTTCAAAGACGTGCCAATGTTTTCTTTCACCCACGCATTCACACACTTCTCCATAAGCTCTATTACATGCAAAACGCACAAACAATGCAAATGGAAGGTACCGCTTTGTTATCGGGGCCATAAACCCAAAGGTTAATTGAGCCAAAGACGTATGTTGTCCCCCACACATGCATTGATTTCTACTGTATGAATAGTGAACGTGGAGGAATTCTGCAGGGTGAATGCACAACACGCGTGTGCCTGTGATTGTATGAAGCCATAAAGTATTAATTCTATTCCGTAGAGAGGAAAAGGCCTATTTCAGCGCTTGTCCCTCGACGAATATGCACTTTTTGTATTGCCGATTACCCTCTGAGGTATCAAGAAAACTGCCTTTGATAAGAGATTTTCTTTTCCGTCCCAAGACAGTCATGCTTGGCTTGGCCTGGCTTGGCTTGGCTTGGTTTCCCTCCTACTTGGTGTCCAGGTCTCGATCCGAGCGGACGCGTCTCATCTATGCAGTGAAAGCTACGAGGATATTTTTTTTTGTATCTCTAAAGCCTTTTGAAAAGTTTCGAGCTGCAGTAAAAGAAGATAATAGTTCTGCAGGTGATGTTTGATGATTCCAGTGTTCAGGCTGATTATACCAGGGGTGATAATTGGAAAAGAAGAAGAAGAAAGGGTTACGGCTGATAATTCCTCTAGAAGTGATAAGTTATATTTAAGGATGTCACCGGTACTTTTTGTAAGAGTATGTGTATAGAATCTATCCTGGGAATCATCAGAATAGGAAGGCTTGGGTCATGTTGATGGGCGTGAAGATGGGCAGTAATGAGGTTGTTCTGGTTTCACCGTCGTGACTTCTGAAGAGCAGTGTAATCCCTGTGCAATAAATGTGGTAGCAATGAACAGCGAGACTCGTCTGTAAGATGAATGACGTCATTTGTCTGCCGATATTTAAATTAAACTTTTGTATATTTTCAGAAGGAGACGTGTGTGTGTTGTCGTGTTTGTTTTTTGGAGAATTTTCAACACACATTGTTGGGAAATAAACCCGCAACGTACATGTTCAGCCTAAAAAAGCAGTTATCAGATATCACACATTCAGTATTTAGTACTGAAGCACCAGCACGTCACTTGTTTACACTGATGAAATGTCTAAAAACCCCAAGACTGCATTGTTTCCTGATCTTTTTCTGCACCTTGATTTATTTATTTTACCAGAATTCACCCTGGTTAATCTGATATCTGTATAAATGCTGACATCTCCACCAAATACAAAATACAAAACTGTCTCATCAGTAGGTGACAAAGGGTCTGACATTCACAAAACTACACCTGGAAATGGTAGAACACAGGCTCACAGGTTCTTTACGACCCACAAACTGTGCTTCAATCATTTTTTGGATGTTTGAGCTTCACTGTGCAGATTCAGAGTCGACTGAAAGAAGAAAACATTTCTCATCTAGTCGCAGCAGCATTTTCAACATAACAAGCAGTTTGGAAGCCAGGCTGCTCCAACTGACAACTTACACAAGCGTGATGTGTAAACCTGAAGCCTGCACTGAACAAACACTGAGGACAGACTTTCAGCGACATCAGAGAAATCCTGTATGGAGTAGTTAAACTTTTAAGATTTAAAATACAAATTGCACACTTCTAGATTCAGAATTTTTCCAATTAAAAAGAAGGTTTAGATATTATCGTAAAAATTTGGAATGAGATAACGTTTTAAATTTAAAAAATAATATCAAAGTATTAGTCACAAATATATATGTAATATATGTGCATATGAACAGGCCTGGAGCGGTTGTCTCAGTAAAACCACGGCTTAAAAATACTCCATTTTAAATTTCACGAGTCTAAATGTACGTGTCTGAGTTTTAATGGAATGTATTATTAGTTAAAGTGGTCACGATTCAGATTGTTTCCCTTCACAGTGTTGTATAATCGATGCATTGACATGTAAACTGCAATTTCTTTGGTTGTGTTGGAGCAAATCCTAACCACTTAACAAATTTAAAGGGTTATTTAACAGACAACAAAACGCTATAACTGTGAACTTGTATAGTGTAGCAGCTGGTAACTGTAGTGTACTTTATTTTCCACTAAAATGTGGTTGCAAACAGACTAATGAATCTATAAAGACACTGGATCTGATGCAAACACAAAAAAACAGACAAACAGCAGAAAGAAATCAATATGCGTAGTAAAGTCTGTCGGCCCTGTAGAAGCTGTGGCTGCTGCAGCCGCCTGCTGGCTGCTTAACATTCTGCAGTCGGGCTGATCAGCACGACTCACTGCTGCTCAAATGCAGACACTGGTGCATTTACACTTTAGGATTTATGTTTTATTTTACCCAATACCTAATGTTTCTACATTATTCACATGTTTGACAAAAAACAGATGATTAGCTGATTCTAGTTTTAAAACAGGTGTGACAAATAATCAGCAGTTTGGTGTTCACACTATTCTGATTATGGATTTATTGTTTTTAAGCAAGTATGTCAAGAAACACAAGAATTATTCTTACATTTTAAATGTCTCAGATTTGAAAAATAAAAAAATCTTTATTTTATTACACAGCAAACTGAATACTTTGGGGACATTGGACTATGGAGTAGTGTGAGTGCCAAAGTACAAAAAATAAATCAATAAAAGAATAATAAAATAAAAGTGGAAATAAAAAGAAAAATTAATAAAATAAAAATAAATAGTGTGACAATGTATAGCAATATTAATCAAAACTGCATCCATAAAAGAAAAGAAGAAATATAAATACAAATAAATAAAATAATAATAAAATTTTTTATTTTTATTTGTCTTTATTTATTATTTATATTTATTATTGTTATTTTTGCTTCATTTATTTTTAGATTATTTTTTATTTTATTTGCATTTTTAAATAATGTTTCCATGTTTATTTTATTATTCTTTTAGTGATTTATTTTTGTAATTTTGCACTCTCATTACTCCATATTGGACTTTTAGATCGAAAACAACACTGAGTGCAGGACTTTGGACTCAGCTTGGCAAAAAGTGTTTCTTTTGCTTTTTTTTTTTGCTGCTGACATTTTCAGACCTGTTACACAACATTATCCTTAATATTTAATCCATAAGGAAAATCTGCCGGTCCTTACAGATTATACTGTTTGACATAGTTATAATTAGCTCTGTCTGAAACACATTAGTTATAACACTACCTATATATACATTCATCAACAATAATCCAACAATTTAGCAGAGTTTAATATCCTTTTTTAAAAAAAAATATATTATTTCTCTTTATGATCCATGGGTCATTAACCATTGCACTGCTGCACCATGAGAAACGTTTAAATGTTGTTGGGAACTGCACAGCAAGCATCTTTAACGGAGACCACAGTTCAGACACTGATCAGATGTTGCATATGTTCTCTTGGAAGCCGCCCCTTCTGTCTGCCGTCAGTTCCTGGTTTAACTTTTTGCATACTTGCAGCACAGCGGCACGAAGTTGGCAGCCCGCACCACATAAATGGGAATAGGTTTCGTCAGTTTCTCTTCTGGCTTTACTGGAAGTTACCAGTGAAAACGGCCTGGATGCCACCGTTCAACTGTCACCTGCATGTCACGCTGCACGATGCAACTTCCTCATATTTTGCAGCTTTGACAGATTTCAACGGACACTCGCCTCATCCTGGAAGATAAACAGATGAGGCGACCAATGGCGTCGCGAGTTTTCAGCCTCAGGCGCCGCCTTTTTGTGACGGACGTTAGTTTGGTCCAATCAACGGCCGAGGTGTCGCCCCTCCCAGCCGGAGACGGATTTCCGAACCGAATGTAGCCGAATAGCCTGGACTTTGTTTACGTCCCGCTGGTTAGCTGACAGCCGTTGTAGCGCTTCGCCCACACGAACATCCGTGTTTGCATGTCTCTGCTGGCTGCTCGGAGCTTCGTGAACTTTTAGCCCAAGTATTTCGAGAATGGGATGTTTTGTTGAGTGAGGGGGGACCCGCTAGATGCCGACAGGAGGATGAACTCCATCACCGGTCGGGTTCTTGCTCTCCCTGCCGCCTCTGTCACCAACTCTGGAGCTTCATCCTCTCGAGCCTTACATGTGGAGCTCACGTCCCAGCAGGTAAATACAGACTCTCTGGGCTCATGTCGGCTTCATCCACGTTCGGGTGAACTCAGGGAAACTTGGACTGGCCTGCCTTGATGTGTTCTGTACTAGTTCACAGCGTCAGTTACAACTGCTGCCTGCAGACACACGATAGGCCTGTCAGACTAGCTAGCTAGCTAGCAGCTGCTAGCTTGCAGTTAGCTAGCTTACTGGAGATAAATGGAAGTGGAGTGACACCCCAGACAAACTGAAACCACTTAGGCTGGCGTTAAACACTTCTGAGCCCGGCGTTTCTAGTGTGCTGTCCTGTCCTTAAACACATATCTCATGCTACACATTCAATTGTGTGCTTGTGTAGCATGCTTCTGCTAATGCTACCTAAACTTGACGTTGTGTTAGCACGCAGGTGACAGCTCAGGGGAAGGGAGACCGGAGCAAACACTATGTCGTTTTAATTAAGGGTAAACTATCTCATACAGTGTTTTGTAACATGATTTCAAACATGTCCAGACCATATGATAAATCCATCAATGCTTACTTAAGCCAGAGAATTCTTTGGAAGTTGGAAAATTCATGTCTTATTCATTCATTCATTCATTTGAAAACGACGTGTAGAAAGTTGACAGCTCGACCTCAGACCGGGACATTGTTCTCTCTCATCTCCATCCCTGACACTGTGTTACTGCAGGATAGTATTTGTAGTGGAGGAACATGCCAGCTGCATTTATGAATATATCTTTAGGTTGAGTCATATGAATGTTATCCAGCTTTTAAAGCCAATATCTGATCTGCACACAACATCCAGCGAGTCCAACATCTTTATGCATTCTTGGACTTGCTTCCGCTATTATCCTGCATCAAACCTCTTCACTCTAAATGTCTACAGTCTCCTTCCAGTGAAGCCGAGTGCATCCCATCTCAGATTCATGCAGCAGCTTGTTTTGCATTCTTGCATACGGTTGGGATTCATAATGTGTGTGTCACTGACGCAGCATCAGGTTCAGCTTTCACAATGGCTTAGTGCATCATAGGTACACAAAGATAGTTACACATAAAAACATACACTGGGACTGGAAGTTTTATTTGTTTAATGTACTTCGTTGACCTTTAACTGTCGGCTTTAGTGCATTAGTTTGACATTTGTGTTCAAACAGTTAATTTCAATAATGTTCTGTTCTTACTGATGGTGATGCCTGATTATCTGACACGCTGTATTTCTTGTGGTTATGTGGTGTTAATTGAGGAAAATCATGCTGTAATTTATGCGAACATTTTCCCTCTACTTGCTCTTTAAAGGATCGGTCAACACACATTGCAAAAAAATGTGTGTTTTAAACTCTTAGCCCTGGGGGTGCACGGCCATGCAGATAGTCTCAGCTGCATGTGTTTAGACTTCAGGTTATCTGCCTTTCAATCTCCTGCAGATGCACCAGTACAACAGAGGTGAATGGGCTGTTGTTTCCCAGTGCTCTAAGAACTTATATTTGAAAAACTCATGTGCGAAGAAAGAGCAGCAAAAATGTTCTGATCTCATTTGAAAAAAATAAAGTTGTTGACACGAACTGTTTTGAAATAGAATCGCTGTATATTAAATCTCACTGTTACTGACTTTTCTTTTGAGTTTTTAATCTTTAACTTTGCTTAATGCTCATGTGCCGGCTCACGTGGTTGATGTCTCTCCAGTGATGTTGTAAAGGCCTGAGGACGTTACAAATGCACGTCTGTGCAGTTTGCTAGTACGAGAGCTAAAGTGCATTTTACAGGCGCACTAATAGGAAATAAGGAAATACAAACATCAGCTAAATGCCTAAATGTATATGTAGAAGTATCTTTCCAAATTTAATTGAGTTTAAAAGTGTATATTTTCCTGTACACTTTGCTGATTCCAA